TTGTTGGTATTTTTAGAGTAAATGAATGGGAATTTAGAATCTCTCAAAAGGATTCATGTTTCACGTGTATTACAAGTATGGTGGAGGAGATAAATGCTTGTAAAAGACGTGGTATGAATTGGCTAAGTGTTAAGGATACGTCGAAAGAGTTTACGTTCGGTTTTGAACGTAAAGGTGATCTCAGAAAAAATGGGAGGGCACCTCGAAAATATGAGTTGGCAGCCTGTTTTTTCTGAGGAATAAAGCTCATAAATAAATGGGCGGTAGCTCGGAAAAACCGGGAGGGCAGCCCGTTTTTTCTGAGCAATTCAGACATAAACGGGCGGGTAGCTCGACAAAACGGGCGGACATCCCGTTTTTTCTGAGCAGTTCGGATTGAGCGAAAAATCGCGACCGTTCGGGAAAAACTTCCGATTTCTTCACACCTTTCGACATTTGGAGTGTTTATTAACACCCCTGGACATCCTAACACGAGATAGAACAGATCTAATTCGTTTTTTGAGAGATTTGAGAGCACTTTTGTGGTTGTTCTTGCAAAACACCCACAAAAGTCTTTTGTTCATCTTCTTCTTGCAATTTCTTGTGTTTGTGTTCTTAGTAGAGCATACTAATATCACTTCTCTCTTCATTGTATCTCAAAGACGTATTCCGGAAAGTCCTTTGCTCGTATAGGACGGAATAACGTTTTTAGGAAAGTGTATCACGCCTTAAAGAGTTATCCGGTTCCTATTTACTTTTCTGTTATTGTTCTTCTTTTTATATGTCAGATTTCTAACAGCGTTTTTCCAACGGTTAGAATGAGCGCGGAGCCTGGCCAGCTGGAGTCAGTTTCCTAACGGATCTATTTTACTCATTCAAAATATTTTAAAAAATTACGCCAGCCTTCCCATTTAATTAAGATAGATTAAAAAAAAATTAATGAAACAAATAGGGAAAAAACTCAGAAAAATTACGCCTATTTTCCATTTATTTCGTAAGATAAAAAAAATATTAATAAAACAAATAGGAAAAACTCTGAAAAGGCGAGAACCCTAATTTCATGAAGGGATTCGAAAGAGAAGAGACGGATGCCAAACCTGAAAGAGGCCATGGATGGAACATTCCATGAATCGAACGTAAGGCGAATCTCGTAGACATTATTCTCCAGATGTGCCTGTGCATGTAAACCACAAAGGATATCACGAACGAAATTGGAATCGTATATCCGGCATCCTGACTCCTGGCCGGAACCACTTCCGTGCCGGTAAGCCTCGCCTTAGCTCGGCGACGCGCATTCGCACTCGTTGTTGTTCGCCATGGTTACAGAATCTCTCTCGAATCAGGGCTTGGAGTTGGAGGAGACGAAATGAGAGAAGAGAAACGAGGAGAGAGAGAAGGTTGTGAGCGTAATAAATTGGACTAGAAATTGGGCCAATATCATCACCCCAATGGGTTTACAAAAAGCTGAGGTATAGTATTTTTATTGACTATAATCAGTATCGAGAATTGGGCCAATGGGCCGACGACCATTGTATTAATCGGAATTGTATAATGTTTTTATTTTTCGTATTTTGTTTTTAGTTATTTTATTTAATGATACACGTCACATCTGAAATAGATATGTTTCATATTACGAAAATAATTTTTATCCACTTTTATACATTTGTACCAATAGTTCTTCAGGATGTTAGCAAGTCACCGTATAGTTCTATAAATTAGACCCAATTTTTTCCACCAAAATCAATATTTTTTTTATATTTTTCGTCAAAATTAACAATAGATTATGGAACAGCTTACCTATTCCATAAATCAATTTAAATCTGACCCGAAACCCTGAAAAAAAATTAAAATCTTACGTGAAGAATTTGTCTAAAACATAAATATGCATGATTTTAATCCACAAACATGATAAACTGTTAAAACATAAATTATAAATTGTGATCATAATATAAATACTTGGTGAAAGTGCAGATTTGACATGTTCTAATAATGTCCACTGAGACATCAACGGCACAAAACAGTCATGAATATTTCTAATCATGTTTGAAGTAAGATAAAGATGATCAAATTATATAGTTAAATTAGTGAAATTGGAATGTAAAACGTTTATTCTATTCCGAATTTGTTGTTCAAATTGAGGAAAAAAAATGCATTTCTAATCAAATGGTTTGTTTCCGATTCTATGATTAGTTTAGATTTTAGCCTAATTACCAACAAAAAAAGATGATCAAGTTTTTTTTATATAGCCTTTGTGATCTTAGTTTTTTTTTTTGTCGGCAATCGATGACACGTATGGCAGGGCGTGGGCTCATCCTTCATGACCCCACACGAGCATGATGATATATATATATATATAGTCTGTATGATTGCAATCTTTAAAAACAAATCATGGATTATAACTATGGTTCAAGAAAACTAACCCACACTAAGTAGGGTCAAGGAGAGGAAAAACTCTTATTAAAGAAACCATGAAATAAAATAAAAAAACGTTTAAATAAATAAACAGTTATTTTATTTAAAATTTTCACATCTGGTAATGCATCTGTTAATGCACCGAGAGTCAAATTCACTTTTTTTTTATGTAACTAATAGGGGTGGACACGGGTCGGATACCTCCAATTTTTAGAAAACCCTATCTCGTCTTCATTACCACGGGTTTTACAAAAATATTATCTCAGTCTTGGTTTCATAAAATCCGGGTACTTATAGCTCGGGTTTAATGAGATTCTCGTTCTTGTACTCACGTGTACCCGGATCTATACGATTTATAAAATTTTGAATTATAAAATGATAGATATAGAAAATACAAATGAGAGATGTCAAAGTATAAAGAGAAAAATTCACGATGAAGAGAGATGCGTAAAATTTTGAGAGAGAGATGAATGGTTGATTCGGTTACATAGAATGAGATTTGAAATGATGAAATTTTTGTATAGAAAGGTTTAGAACATAAAAAGATTGAACTAAAATAAAAGTATTTTAATAAATAATAAGAATAATTTAGACAAAAATATTATAGATATAAAGTATATTTTAGATTTTTAACAAATATACCGGGTACCCCGGTACCCTTTGTAAAATAATTAAACCTCCACTCGGACTCGGAGGTCGAAAACTTAGTCTTATTAATACTTGATCTCATCATCGTTAATATTTGGGTACCCTTTATTCGGGTACTTGTTAAGCCGGATACCTCCAAACCTCCGGATTACGGGTTAAAACGTCCACCCCTAATAACTAATGCATATGGGCATTTAAGTGAGAGGAAAAAAAAAATAAAAACATTTAAACAAAGGGTAAGGGGTAAATCAGCAGTTATTATTCGATGGGAAATCGACAGTTATTTATTTCATACTATTTTTAGATTCTAATCACATGATCCAATAATTATCAAAATTTTAAATAAAGGAATAAAGAGATAATGATTATAATCAACCAATTGCACCGTCGTGAGATTCTTACTACAAGATCCAATGAATAGTACACCACTCATGTCGGAGAACGTGCCACTTTTAAAGCGGATGTACGTTTTTTTATTGATGATGGACGGTCAAGATTAATCCCCAGGAAACGTCGTCGTTTCCATGTGATATGAACAACGTTGAGAGCACTACTTGGATCTTTTTCTCTCCTCATCTCCAAGTTATGGGAGAAAAACGAGCTTTGAATATTTCTTTGGACAACTCTTGGAAATTTCAATTAAGTACCCTCATTTCTTGTCTTATAACATTTTTGGCATAGACGTTCTATCCTTTACCAGATTGCCGCGTATTTGCATTGATATTGCTTTCCGTCATTAATTATTATTATTATTATTATTATTGTTATTATTATTATTGTTATTATTATTATTATTATTTTTGTATACAAAATGTATTTCAAGTCATTCATACAGGAGCTAATAGTTTCATGTTCGGTAGTTCTCCTGATATTTATAAATTTTGAATCTTAGTTATATGAATTAGAATGAAACAAATAGTTTAAAATTTAACAAAATAAAATAAATTATCTCATAAATTTAAACATCCAATGTCATTTAATCCGGTGGAAATGGAATTATATATATATATATATATATATATATATATATAAAAGGAAGTATTTCAAACATATCTAGTCATTGATTTGTTTAGTTTTTAATTACAATATCCTTAGTTATTGAATAATAATAACTTTCGCCAACATGATTTACTATAAATATCTTTAGTTGTTTCTATTATATGAAACAAAAAAGAAAAAAAATGGATATGAAACGTTTGGATAAAAACTTAACTTATAAATAAAACGATATTAAATCCATAGATTTTTCAATCAGATAATATAAAAAGTTACGGAAATATCAATTTTTACAAGTACTAAACATTTAAAATAGTAATTTATATACTGCAGATGAAGTAAAAAATTTGGGCGCCGGTCAATTGGTAAGAAATACACTAATATAAAATACGGGGCTATTTTGAAAACAGTTATTATCTTGAGGGCCAAATTGAATGTACCATTTTTTAATTTTAGAACTGGTGGGGGCAAAGTCAACAATTATAGGAAAGAAAATCAATCAGTCTCACGCGCTCTCCCATTTCTTCGTCCTTTATTTATTACACAAAATATTTAGCTTCTCCACACAAAAGCAGCTCTCTCTCCATCTTCAATCACGGATCAGATCCTCAATTTCTTCCTCTGACCTCTTTCGATCTTCTCCGAACTGGAAAATTTCTCGGTTCGTGGGCTTCTCCTCTCATTTCTTCTTCTGTTTATAACTGTTCACCTCTTAATTTCATCCGGTTTTGTCTTGGCTTATCACTGGATCAGAATTCGTCTGATCTGTCGTTCTTTTTTTTTTCCGAATGTTTTGACGCGATTTAGGAAGCAGTTTGGCTTCGGCTTCGTTTTGATAGGTTTGGATGCACAGTCATCGGATCGGTCTCTCAGCAGTTCTAGATTTTTTTTGTTTGCACTGGAGTTTACTGGGTTTGGTTCATAATGTTGAAATTCGGTGATTTTTTTTATGATATGATTTTGTGTGATTTGCTTCGTTGATCTCTGAGATCTCGAATTAGATGTATGTTTGTTGCGATTTCACTATTTGTTTCTTCTGATCCGATTTAGTTTCGAACAAAACATCATTGACTTTGTTGCCTGTAGATTTGTTGCTCAAAAGTAAACTTCGATGTGAAAAAAAAAAAATCTAGTGGAGTTTCTTAGCTGCTTCATTCGCTGCGTGAGAAAAGGTTTCGATGATGATCGTTTAATCATTTATTTATATTTTTTAATTACTATTACAGGTGAGAAATGGCACAACGTTTGCTTCACGGAACTCTCCATGCTACGGTCTATGAGATTGACCATCTCCATGGTGGTGGAGGCAGATCAGGTTTCTTCGGACAGGTACATATAGCTTTGGTTGCCTTTTCTGTCCATTTTCATTGTGTGATTCAGTAGCTATGGAGTTTTCTCGATTTCTGATTTTGGCAATTGATGGGCTTCTTGTTAGTTTTTACTTTTGATTTTAGTTCCTTTTGAGAAAAGAAACCTATCTGCATTTAGGTTCTACAAATTCTGGTGTTTTGACAAATCAGAATGATATATAATCCCATGACTTTTGGTTCATTGATCAATTTTGCTTGTGTTTTCCACGAAAAAGGTTAGATTTTTGTAGGAGCAAGATTGAGCACAGGGTTGCAATGAGCTTGGGTTGAGCAATGTCCTACATGTTTCCATTGCCCTGATTCTTGCTCCTCCAAAAGCTAATTCTTTGTTATCATGTCTTCCTGGGATTTTTGTTTTTTGTTTGCTCCCATGCAATTGTCTTATTTTGTGTTTTCGTGGGCTGATGTGTTATGAAACATCCAGCATTTCTTCCCTTTCATAATTCTTTAATTGACCACATATACATACATATATACACATATATATTCCAGTTTGAATGAACTTTCTTTCGTTTAGCTTCTGGCAAATGTGGAAGAGACCATTGGTGTTGGCAAAGGTGAGACCCAGCTGTATGCTACGGTTGATCTGGAGAAGGCAAGAGTTGGGAGAACCAGGAAGATCAAAGATGATCCCAACAGCCCCAAGTGGAACGAGTCGTTTCATATATACTGCGCCCACATGGCTTCCAACATTATTTTCACCGTTAAGGATGCTAACCCCATTGGTGCAACCCTGATCGGACGAGCATATGTACCTGTTGAAGAAATCTGGGATGGTGAAGAAGTGGAGAAGTGGGTCGAGATTTTGGATACGAACCGAAACCCCATCAAAGGAGATTCAAAAATCCGTGTTAGGCTTCAGTATTTCGATGTTACAAAGGATCGAAACTGGAACAGGGGAATCCGAAGTGCCAAATTTCCGGGAGTCCCTTACACATTCTTCTCCCAGAGAAAAGGCTGCAAAGTATCTCTGTACCAAGATGCCCATATTCCGGAGAACTTTGTTCCTCGTATCCCTCTTGCGGGCGGGAAGAACTACGAGCCTCACAGATGTTGGGAAGACATTTTTGATGCAATTACAAATGCGAAACATTTGATCTACATTACCGGTTGGTCTGTTTACACTGAAATCGCTTTGGTGAGGGACTCGAGAAGGCCGAAGCCGGGAGGCGATGTGACCCTTGGAGAGCTACTCAAGAAGAAGGCCAGCGAAGGTGTTAGGGTTCTTTTGCTTGTCTGGGACGACAGAACATCTGTCGATGTGCTGAAAAAAGATGGTCTGATGGCTACACACGACGAAGAAACCGAGAATTTTTTCCGGGGAACCGATGTCCACTGTGTTCTCTGCCCTCGTAACCCCGATGATGGTGGTAGCATTGTCCAAAACCTGCAGATCTCTACCATGTTCACGCATCACCAGAAGATTGTAGTTGTAGACAGCGAAATGCCAAGCGGGTCATCATCCCAGATGAGGAGAATCGTGAGTTTTGTCGGAGGTATTGATCTCTGTGATGGAAGGTACGACACTCCGTTCCATTCCTTGTTCAGGACATTGGACACTGCCCATCATGATGACTTCCATCAGCCAAACTTCACTGGCGCTGCCATCACTAAAGGAGGTCCAAGGGAACCGTGGCACGACATCCATTCCCGTCTCGAAGGACCTGTTGCTTGGGATGTCTTGTACAATTTCGAGCAGAGATGGAGACAGCAAGGCGGCAAAGATATTCTGGTTAACATGAGAGAGCTCGGTGATATCATTATCTCGCCTTCTCCCGTTATGTACGAGGAAGACCATGAAACCTGGCATGTCCAGTTGTTTAGATCCATCGATGGTGGAGCTGCTTTTGGATTTCCCGAGTCTCCGGAAGAAGCTGCCAAATCCGGTCTAGTGAGTGGAAAGGATAATATCATCGATCGCAGTATCCAGGATGCGTACATCAATGCCATTAGACGGGCCAAGGATTTCATCTACATCGAAAACCAGTACTTCCTTGGAAGCTCTTTCGCTTGGACCGCCGATGGGATCAAACCCGAGGACATCGACGCTCTCCACTTGATTCCGAAAGAGTTATCGCTCAAGATTTGTAGCAAGATCGAGGCGGGAGAGAGGTTCACCGTTTATATCGTCGTTCCAATGTGGCCCGAAGGGATCCCAGAGAGCGGATCTGTCCAAGCTATACTGGACTGGCAGAAGAGGACCATGGAGATGATGTATACCGACATTATTCAGGCCCTCAGATCCAAGGGGCTCGAGGAGGATCCAAGAAACTACTTGACGTTCTTCTGCCTCGGAAACCGGGAGGTGAAGAAAGAAGGAGAGTACGAGCCTTCCGAGAAACCCGACCCCGACACAGATTACATCCGGGCACAAGAAGCGCGTCGCTTCATGATCTATGTCCACACCAAAATGATGATCGGTAAGTAATGTTTTCGCCATTTCGGATTCGAGTTTCATTCTCCTTCCACTGAAATTCCCTAACCCTTTTGCGGGTTTGGCCTTTTTGCAGTGGACGACGAGTACATCATTATCGGATCAGCCAACATAAACCAGAGATCAATGGATGGAGCAAGAGACTCGGAGATAGCAATGGGAGGGTACCAACCTTATCACTTGTCGACAAGACAGCCAGCTCGCGGGCAGATCCACGGATTCCGTATGTCTCTGTGGTACGAACACCTCGGAATGCTTGACGAGACCTTCCTCGATCCATCGAGTATGGAATGCGTCCAGAAAGTTAACCGTGTCGCCGACAAATACTGGGACCTCTACTCAAGCGAGGCACTCGAGCACGACCTCCCAGGACACCTTCTCCGTTACCCCATCGGCGTTTCAAGCGAAGGGAACGTCACCGAGCTTCCGGGTTTCGAGTTCTTCCCTGACACTAAGGCACGTGTTCTCGGGGCCAAATCTGACTACTTGCCTCCCATCCTCACGACCTAATCCGGCTCCCCTTTCTAGTAATAAATCTCTGTCGTCTCTCCCGCTCGCTTGCATTAGCTTTGGTAATAAATCAGGTAGCAGCTTGAAGAACTAATAAGTTATCATTTTGGGTTGATGTTTTACTGCGTTTGTTTTTCCGATTTGCTTGGATGAGGGCATGGAGAGAATGTAGCTTTGGTGAGTCGTGACCTCTGTCTTTGGTACTAATTACCCTTCAACCTATGGATTTATGAATCTCTATCGATCTTTTTGTGCATGGATTCGTTTGTTTATCCAAGATTTTGGCGTATCAGATTTCAAACTCGAGTTTTGGAGTTGTCTGAATTATCATGTTAATTATTCATAATTTTCAATTAATTATTAAGTTTGCTCAACAGGTTTTTTACAAAACTTTGATTTTTCTCTTCTTAGAAAACCCATGAAGGAAAAAGAATATTAAAAAATAGTTTTGGTCATAGCTAAAGGTAAGTCAACGCATTTATCCGAAGAAGCATGTAGAAGGAACAAGAAGCTTTCTCTGTGTTAGGTTCTGTATAAACCCAGAAACTCTCTGAGACTTCTGCAAATTGTCCGAAACCGAATCTTGAAACCCGCCAAAACCCACATTATAAAAACCCAACAGAATCATCATCGATCAAAACCAGAGACGAGAGAAAACGAGAACAGACAGAGAAAAAAAACCGAAAAAAAAGAACAGGACAGAGAAAACAGTGTTTTTGGATTCTGAAAATGGCTTTGGCACGTCTGGCTCTGAGAAACCTTCAGCAAAAGCTATCTTCTTCTTCTTTGATGGGTCATGTCAGTGTCGGAGAGAGGAGTGTTGTCGGAAACCAACAGAACCAGAGGTGGAACATGGAGGTTCTGAGGAGATCCATGGCTTCTTCGGCTGGGGAGCAAGAGAAAGGGAAAGGCACTGAAGTGAGAGTATCTGAGAAGAAATCTTCTCGTCTCTTCCCCAGGCGACGTGGCCGTAAAAGCCTCTGGCGAAGCACTTCAAACCGCGACTTCGTCCCCTCCATCTACGGTATGTACTCTACTTACAAATCTTCTTCAAGATTCTCAAAAAAACACCCAGAAAACTGATTCGGATCTTGCTGATTCACTTTTGTACTCATGTGGGCAAGAAGAATTCTTCCCATCAGGGCTAGGAAACGCTCTAATGGAGGCAACAGAGAACATAAACCGCCTCTTGGACGGCATGAACATCATCACACCATCTCAGCTGATGGGGAGAGTGAAGGAGGAAGACGACTGCTACAAACTGAGGTACGAGGTTCCAGGGTTGACCAAAGACGACGTGAAGATCACAGTGGAAGACGGGATCTTGAAGATAAGAGGCGAACACAAGGCCGAGGAACAGGAAGGGGATCCGGAGGAAGACGAAGAGTTCTGGTCGGAGAAGAGATATGGTTACCACAGCACGAGCTTGGCATTGCCTGAAGATGCAAAGGTCGACGAGATCAAGGCTGAGATCAAGAACGGCGTCCTGACCGTTGTCGTCCCGAAGAGCCACGTTCCGAAGAAAGACGTCAAGGAGATCGCTATTCACTAGAGAGAACGAGAAAAAGAGTTTTTTTTTAATAAAAAAAAAAAATCTGTGTTGTCCCTTGTAAGGGTTGTTACTTCTGTTTGGTCGTGTAACTGTTGGATCGTTTCGAATTGAATAAGATATAACTTATATCTAATCTAAGTATTGAATACAATTAAATTTAATATTAGGCGATGGAAACACAGCCCTCTTCTGGCATGACAATTGGACGGGTCTAGGGCCTCTTGATTGGGAGTGGAGGACCCTAAGCTGCTGCGTATTCCTCTTTATGCAAAGGTCAAAGCGGCGTCGAAAGGCTTAGAGTGGAATCTTCCCGGGGCAAGATCAGATCGGATCCAAGTGGCCCTTACTCGGATTTCGGCCATCCCAGTTCCGTCGAGCGAAAATCTGACAAAGATTGTTTCGAATGGAAAGCAACGGCAACGGAACACAGGGATACCTTTTCCTCCTCCGCCACCTGGAAGTTGATCCGCCAACAAACTCTGGTGGTACCGTGGCACTCTATGATATGGTTTTCACTATCCACTCCGAGACTCAGCTTCATACAATGGCTAGTGCTCCTTCATCGTCTTCCAACAAGAGATCGCCTGGCTCGATGGGGACTCCTCGACAATCCCATATGTGTTCTCTGTCAACTAGCTCCTGAATCTCATTCTCATCTTTTTTTTTATTGTTGCTAACTATAGCCGAGATGTGTGGATTCCCTTTGCCTCTGCATGCTTCCAGTCTCCGCCGTTGGATGTTGATCAATGCTCATCTTGGTTAGCCGCTCAGCCCCAAGCTCGCTCAAGCACTAGAAAATCCTTTGCCAAGCTAATTCTTCAAGTAGCCATCTACCTCATATGGTCTGAACGGAATGCTCGAATCTTCAAAGGTGAATCGTCCCCTGTGGAAAAGACTCGGTTATCTCTTGACAGGTTTGCTCGAGACATTATTCTCTCGCGGAGATCCTCTACGTCGGCACACCCTTGGAGCTTGATGGATGATTGGTTACTAGTTACATCTACGATCCAAATTCTCTGAAACGGTGATTCACTTTTGTAGTCTTTGATTTTGCGATATGGAATCCTTATCTTTTGGGTTAGTTCCGGTGATCAACCGGTTTTGTATACAAACTTGATCTATTAATACATTTACCTTTAAAAAAAAAAAAAGAATATATATATATATATATATGATAATGTATTATTTAGATATTAGATGTATAATATGCAAATGCTAACAAATAATAGATAGAACAATATAATTTATTCTACAATTATCATGATGTTTATGAGAGTTTGTATTTTTTTAACAAGCGATTTCAATCCAACAATTCTAGAATTACAAAATTCAAGTTCAGAATATATCTTCCTTCTACTATGCTTTATTTTATTTAATTATTTATTTTGTACCAAGGCAAAAAGGGGAAAACGAGGTCGAGATTTCTCCCTCTGAAGAAAATAATGGCGACGGCGCTCTTCTACGCGACCTCAAGCTCCGACCTCCACCGCCTCCGCCACCGTTCGGTCCCATCTTCCCCGTTCTTTTCGCCTTCGACTTCGCCGCTATTTCCTCCTCCGTCGCGTCTCCACCGTCAAACCCTCCTCGTCGCCGCTCCCGGCTCGGCCCGTTGCCTCGCCGTCGCTCCCGGTCCTCCCTCTCCGCCGGGTCCCGGGCCTCCTCCTCCGCGGAACACGAACAATCTCGGGGGTTTGAATCCTTACTCTCTTTTTTTTTATCGGAATTTTTGTTTTTTTGTTTTGAATTCGAATTTGTTTGGTCGTGTTTGTTGTAACCTTGTGCGCTTAATGGCTGATATCGGTCCAGAAATTCTGGAATTTGTCAATGAATTTGATGCATATTGGATGATATCCAATAACTCGGGTCCCGATTGTGGATTGGTGAAGAAGTATGTTGGATTATTCTCTCATCTTGTGGTTGGCATTGGTTGTTCTCAGCGAATCATATAGTTCGTAGATGTTGGTGAATCAGTTTTTGTTTCAAATGATCGCTGAGACTCTGTGCCCATGGAGGTAAAAGTCATCATCTTTTAAGGTGTCCATCGTTTTTAGTTTCGAGAATTCAGGATATCTGCAGAAGTCGAACCATTTCTTGTGGAGATAGATCTTCTAGGGTTTTCTTGTCTGTGTTTGAGTTACAGTATGTTGTTCTTTCTGGATGTGGGAAAAGGTTTACATGATACCCAACCAAACATCAAAAGCTTGTCCTAAAGAACATGGGATTTTGTAAGAGCGTAGACGCAGATGATGAAGTAACATTGCTGAAGCCACAAGCTTTTGATATGTTCATAATGCTGGAAACTGCATTCTGAATACTTTAGCTAGTTAATGGTGATGAATGAATCGACTGGTCATCATCATCATCATCATCATCTCTCGTTGTCTTCATCTCATCTCGATAGTGTTACCTTTTTCTTCCCAACAGGTATTGCTAGAACAATCTCCACGATCGAAGACCGAGTCAAGATATTCTTTGCTGTGCTATTCTGGATGTCATTGTTCTTCTGGGCATCGGTCTCCGATGGGAGGGGTGAGGGCAAGAGGAAGAAGAAGGGTTCACCTTTCAAATAGACTCGGAATCTTTTCAGGGCTTCAGTGATCCAACACTAACCCTGTGTACATGATGTGCAGAGGAAAAATAGCTTCAGAGAATTCTCCAAGTAAGCATCTTTCATGTAGATTCGTTATGTAGGATCATCATTGTGTTGGATTTAACATAAGCCGAATTCGGAAATTAAATCCAATGATCTTTGTTGAAACCTTAATCTTAAGAACATATAAGAACAGAATAACATAGATGTTGTTTAATAATCTTTCAAATTAAGTTTTTAAAGTAAATTGTTGTTGTTCATTTATACCGTGGGCCGTGGGCCGTGGGCCGTGGGCCGTGGGCCGTGGGCCGTGGGCCGTGGGCCGTGGGTTGCAAAACGACAGCCTTTTTTCCGGACTCGGAGGCTTTCTTCCATTACAGTTTACTTTTTAAAACAGTAGAAAAGCACGTGTAACTCGTGCACACGCGCCTCCACTGGCGCGTGCATCGTCCAAATAAGCTTTATTTTTATGCGACCATCCAGGCCTTTCACGTGTCGTTACCGGAGACCATCACAGAACGATGTTACGGGAACACCCATTTTCGTTGGACACGTGTTACGATCCTATTGGCCTTTTTTTGTAGAAAGTTTTTTTCCCCAGAGAAACCACCAGAGCCAACACCCACAAAAAACACACACAATCCCAAACTCCCAACTGTCTTCTCGGCTGGTTCTGTGCTGTTCTTGCAATCAATCCCAGGTTTTTGTTAATTAGATAAGAATTTTATTGGTTTTATCAGTGGGAAAAAAGATTTTTTGGGCTGTTTTGTGATTTTATTTTGTTTTTTTTTTCCAGAGGGTAAACAATAGATGGGAAGCGAACAAGAAGCCGTGCCTGTTGAGCTCCCGGCTCCTCCTTCGTGGAAGAAATTGGTTTGTTTTTTGTTCTTCTGTTATGTTTTCCCTTGAATCTCTGTTTGTTTTTAATTTTATTTTTAATGTGCAGACGATGAAAGAAATCACCTTCTTCTGTTTTCAGGGATTGTCGTTTTAGGCTGTTGCTTGTTATGTTAAGATTCGGCTTGAGTTTCAAATTTACGAATAGCAGTAGGAAAAGGAGATTAATAACTGAAAATGCTTATATGTCGATTCAATTGTTTAAAAAACGAGAACCTAAGATTGTAGTGAGCATGTCTTCTTCTGTTTTCTAGCTTTTTTGGATGTGTCTGAACTTTGACCTGCCTTTCTGATTCTTCTTTCACTTCCGCTTACTTACCGTCAATTACTAGAAACACGCTTCAGAGGTGGCCGTTTGATCGAAGATGAATGTGTGCGAATGTTTTCTTGAAGGTTCTGTATAAGTTTTTGAGCTCTCTCTGTTTTATTTTTTCTTCTTCTTAATTCTAGCTATGCACGAGCATTTCGCCCGCGTTGAATTGGCAAAGTGTAGTTACACGAATCGATTTGGTCAAGGGGTCTGGTTGGTGAGTTCAAAGTTTTAAACTTTGAATCATTCTGTACTCTCTGTTAATTCCAAAAGGGTCGAAGAATTCACTTTTGGAACCTTTGAAGATTTATGCTCATTCATTTATGTTTTCAAGGGTTTGTGAGTCTGGATTTTTTTTAAACCAATTTGTGCATAGATTGTTATATGATGTTATATTTAAGGAAGCCGCATTGGAGTAAAGCTGGAATTATTCATCTTTTATTGTCTGAAAATGTGTATGTAAACTCGAGAGACTTGTGTTTTCTCTTCTGTTCCATCCCTTTGTGACGTGTTCATTGTGTTTCATATGTTCTTCTGTTTATGGTACAGTATCAACCCAAGAAAGGGAGCTCAGCGAGGAAGGCAGAGATTGTGTTTGTTGCTCCAACGGGTGAGGAGATTAGCAGTAGAAAGCTGTTGGAACAGTATCTCAAGTCTCACCCAGACAACCCTGCAATCACAGAGTTTGACTGGACAACCGGTCAGACACCGAGGAGATCTGCGAGGATCAGCGAGAAGGTTAAGGCATCAACTCCATCACCGGATAAACAGCCACCTAAGAAACGAGCCAAAGCAACTTCTGCCTCAAAGAGGGATGATAAAGAAGATACAGGAGCTGATAAGTCGGAGGGCCAAAAGGAAACTCAAGAGAAGGATGCCAAAATGACTGAGAAGGAAAGCATAGATGCGAAACCAGAAGAAACTGTTAAGAACGGTTCTGATGAATTTGAGAAGGTGAATGATGGAAAAGATGCTGAGACGGCTGAGAGGGAAAATGCAGGCGCGAAACCAGAAGAGCCTGTTAAGGATGATTATGTCGAGACTGAGAAAGCGAACGACGGAAAAGATGGCATGGACACAGATGAGACTCCGAAGGCGGTTCCAGGTCAAGAGATGGAGAAAACTCCCGGTAAAGAGGGTAAAACTGGTTCAGAAAAGAAGGTTGAAGGGTCTGAACTTAAAGCTGGTTCAGTAGAAAAGGTCGAACAGTCTATGGAGATTACTGGCTCTGAAATCGAGAATGAGAATGAGAAGGCCTCAGTTGATAAGATTTCCATGGATGCAGAGACCAAGATCACTGAAGCAAATGGTAACCAGAATGAGAAAAATGCAGGTAAAGGAGCAGTCCAATCTGAATCTGGATCAAGAAACGCTGAGCAAAATGCGAATGGGGAAGAAGAGAATGATCCAAGTTCGGAGCCTAAGGGTCAAGACAGAGCGATAGAAGCTGGAGTGACCGGAAACGAAACACTGAAGCAGTCGAGTCCTGCTCATGTTAGTGCCTAGAGAAATGTAAGGTCGTTGCTTCTACCGAACTTAAAATCTAGTGTTCATCTCTTTTGTATCTTTTCCTGATATTACCGGAACTTGGCAGGATACCTTAGACTGAACAATTGCAGCCCGAGATATGGTTGAGTTAAATGGTTTAGTTCAACCCAATCATAATCATATATGTGTGTGGGTTATTTTTATTTAAATGAGTTTAATGGGTCAAACGATTATGTGGTAATTAAATGGAATAAAACATCAAACCCATTAGTTAATAATAAGAAAACCTTAAAAACATTAATCGATTCTTTTCCTCTTTTTTTGACAAATTTCTTGAAGGGTTTCGCTGTTCAGACAAGATTAATGAAAGACAAGAATCTTGAATCATGTGAAGAATCTTTTACAACTTGGGAGGGGGAGAGAGAGAGAATCTTGTCTTAAAAATAATTTAAAACAAAGAAAGAGAAGAAAAGTTTAGCTTTGAGGCCAAAGTAAGAATCCAATACAAATCCCCACGTTTTCATTTTCCTACATTTCTTGATAACTCACGATTCTTTTCCTTTTTTGCATGGTGGTGGTCACAGAGGTTAGGAATCTTTCCATCGACGAGCATAGTATCATCTCCCCGTTTTTTAGGACAAAACCCAATTATTTTTTTGAACAGAAAGATCATTCCAACACATCTCAAATGTCTTTTCCACAAATGGAATGCTCTTTCCGGTCTTCCCCTATTGGTTTCTCTTCCTTCTTTCTCCGGTTTCTCTTCATTTTCGCCACCTTATCGTCCCTCGGTAAACACCCTCGTTCTCTATATATCTTCAAGATTGTATCTTCAATGTGGTTACTGAAAACATCGTCGGATCATATATTGTCATGTCACTATCTCTCTGTCATATCATACTATCTATACCAACGTTGGAAACAATTTGTCCACTTGCATGCATTTGTCCTCACTAGTGCCAGCCTCATATTAGAATGTATATATATTCGGTTTAATCCGGATTATTTCGGTTTAGCTTGGTTTTTACATAGTATATATATCCGTTTCTCCGTTTCCATTTCTGAATTCTCTCAAATAGTAAAACCTCACATCTTCTCAGAGTTGCTGTCTAAACCTATGATCTTCGGAAAAAGATGAATACGAAGAACCCTAACCAGTAGGCCACATGCATTTTTTCTTACTGATGTGAATCTCCTTTTTCCGTAGCGACAACGTCCGTAGCGTTCACGGGGACGTACGGAGTGAACTACGGCCGGATTGCGGACAATCTCCCCTCCCCTTACGCGGTGGCCACTCTACTGAAATCGGCAAAGATCAAGAACATCAGGATATACGACGCGGACCACTCGGTGCTGACGGCGTTTAGAGGGACGGGGATTGAGATAATAGTTGGATTGGGCAATGAGTTTCTCAAGGACTTGAGCGTGGGCGAGGACCGAGCCATGAGCTGGATCAAGGAGAACGTCGAGCCGTTTGTAAGATCCGGCACCAGAATTCGTGGCATTGCGGTTGGCAATGAGATCTTGGGCGGTACGGACATCCAGCTTTGGGAGGCTCTCCTCCCCGCCGCCAAGAATGTCTACTCCGCTCTCCGCCGTCTTGGACTCAGCACTGTGGTCGAGGTATAAGTCTAATTCCATATATATACACATATCATTTTGCATAATATTTTACATATTTGATATGTCAGTATCACCTTAACATATACATCCAAAAACGTTATATCAAACTATGCCGCGATTTGGATCTGATATCTCGAATAAAATAACAGTATATATACCTCTCTTCATATATGGTGTGATGGGGTCCAGGTATCTAGTCCGCACTCGGAGGCAGTGTTCGAGAATTCGTACCCACCCTCGGCATGCACGTTCAGGGAAGACGTGATGCCGTACATGAAGCCGTTGCTGGCGTTCTTCTGGCAGATCGGGTCGCCGTTCTACATAAACGCCTACCCGTTCTTGGCTTATAAATCCGACCCTACCCACATCGACCTCAACTACGCTCTCTTCCAGCACACCTCGGGCATTTACGATGCCAAGACCAAACTCCATTACGACAACATGTTCGATGCTCAGGTCGACGCCGCCTATTTTGCCCTCGAAAAGGCCGGTTTCCCCAAAACGCCGGTACGTTACTCTTATCCGTACGTTTTATATATAAATAAACACTACACAATATGAATTAAGGTGTAGAGTTTCATCAGAAATGGCGCGCTAATTATGTACGTTAGACATAACTAGGAGCAATCTAACATCAATATACAACGTCTATATTTACCTTCAATCACGTATATATTTGTTTACTCATTTCAACTATATGAAAATATATATATAACGTATCATGTATAAATATGTACCATTTCAAATCGTTAGGTAATTGTATCGGAGACGGGATGGGCATCGAAAGGAGACCCGAACGAGGCAGGAGCGACGGTGAAGAACGCGAGAACGTACAACAGAAACCTGAGAAAGCGGCTGAAGAAGAGGAAAGGAACACCGCACAGACCAGACACGGCGGTTAGGGCTTATGTCTTCGCTTTGTTCAACGAGAATCTGAAACCGGGTCCCACATCGGAGAGAAACTTCGGTCTCTTCAAGCCCGACGGAAGCATATCCTACGACATCGGCTTCACTGGCCTCAAGTACTCTTCCGCCGTTAAACGATGTCGTTTTGAGCCCTTGTTTCAAGCTCTTCTCTCGTGCTCTGTTACGGTTCTTCTTCTTCACCGTTTGTTACCGTTACCGTTACCGTTGTGAGGATAAAAAAAAATTATATATATTATTTTACGGATTTTATACATTGACCCTTTGGTTTTAGAATTTCTCGAACTATGCCTGGATTTCTTTCAAGTATCAGAGCGAGTGCCGTTTACAGAAGGGATTTCTAATTGTTGTAAATCGTGATTACTCAACGGAACGGTATTGTTTGGGTGATTTGAATATAGATGGCCGTTATAAGATCGAACATCAGAGGAGAATATTATAAAATATTTAGATTTTTTAAGACGGAATAAAATCAAATTTAAATATTATGTAATACTGCATAATCTTTTCAAATTTTATCTAATGATCCAAATTTGAGTGATTTAGTGATAAAAGAATATGCAAAGTATGTTCTTATCATCAGTTCAAACTCAAACGTGAGGAATGTTATTCCCCTGTATTTCTCCAATTCTTTGAAAGATGTAATTGGATCAAAGTTTTGGTGAAATTCTAAATTATAAAAAAAGAATTTATGATAGGGAGATTTCTTAGAATAGAAGAAACATTTTCTAGAAGGATATTTATAAAATATAAGATCCATTGAATTCAGAGAGCCTCATGGACTACACATTTCGATGTTATCTTTTCACCATTTACCAAATTACCATACTATGTTTTTAAAAAACACGCTCTTCATTATGCATGAACTTTTTTCTCCTCCAAAATAAATGTATTTCATAATGAATCCGATACATGTGAATCTGACATATATGTAATTTGAAGTATTTTTCTTTGGTTTTTGTTCAATTTAATTAATTATTAAACAACGTAAAGGAAAAACGAATGATTTTTATAAATCAAAGAAGAATTTTATAAAAATAACTAAAAACCCCCCATAAATCTAGTACATTATAGATAGTTTGTATTTAATATTTTCATAATTTAAATCCAATATAATTCAACATATTAATTTTCTCCAATCTAACACTCTGGCATGGTAAACTAGTTCTTCTCTTCTGATGTGTGAATCAATTCAGAGATGTATTACAAAATTTAAATTGTTATAGCATCATATATCTATAACAGATATTCTATTTATTAAACTTTAATATAGATATGTAAAATAATGAAGAGAGGGGGAGAAAATGAGTGGTGGTGGTGAGAGAGGAGACCACCGCAGAATGGGCGAATGAAGAGTGGAGTAATAAAGGGTGTGGTCCATTTGGTTACAGTCTCGTCGGTCCACAAAATGTCATAATCTTTGGTCAGTATTTAGGGGGTTTTGACGTTAGGCCACATGTGATATTTATTGTCATTGTTTTATTTTTTGTATGTCACATGAATCTTTGCCCAAGCGAATTTTGTTGAACCAAATTTTACTTGTCGATTTTTTTTTTGGTTTGTAGCTTTTCGAGGATTAATAAAATATTGAATTTGCCAATTTGGATTCTTATTTTTTTTAGTGGAAACAACAATTAATGTCTATAAATATATTTTCAAGGAATGATTCCGAACCCAAAGAAAGATATATATTATATCGAAGCTCACGATCTTTATAGTCGATATAAATATATCAGTGATTTTTTTTTTGTTTCGAGTTTTAATATTTTTGGGTATTTTCTGGAAACGACGAAAACATTGAAAAGTTTAAAATTACGTGGAGTTCAAATATTATATTTTTATTCAACTTTTTGTTATACTAAAAACTGTGTGTGTATATATATCTATATAATATTAAAGCTTCTAATAAAATGACAATATCATCATTTTAAACTCTTTCGATTATAATTATACAGTTATCTTGTAATTTATCATGGTAGAGTATCTCATGGACAAATTAAACGTCGAATCTCACACTTTCCAATTTAAGAGGTATAAGACATATATAAAAAAATATCTAAATACTGTTTATATTACAATAAGAAAATATATTATCAAATAGATTTAAAATCTTTGTGTAAGTTACAAATTTTATAGAGATATATTATATTTACCAATAAAAATCGTATAATGTCATAACATAGATTATGTCTAATGATATAGTTTGTTGAGAAGGTTTCGAGTATACTTGTTACACATCCTATATACGAACGTATATAGTCGTTGGAAATATATTTAATTTAATTGCGGTATAAAGAATACGTCCGAACATTAAAAGATATAATTGAGTCGAAAAACGGATGAATTTTTTGAATTATATATATATATATATATATAATCTATGTCCAATTACAGACTCAGAAGTCAAAGATAAGCTTTGAACTGTCCCATAACTGTTCCCTTCGAGGATTAATTCAACCCTATAATTAGCTAGCTGGCAAATGAAAGAAAACTTTTACAACACAAACAAAAATAAATTAAAAGCATAAATTTATTATTTATTAAAAATATAAAAACTCTTACGTAAATAGACTTGTTAAATATCCAAATCCAAATATGTCGAACAAAAAGCTGAATATATATGTATATATATATATATATATATATATATATGAAGATTCTGGAACAGGTTTGTTTCATAAAAAATGATATTAAAGAGCCATGGCAGTACTGAAAAGAAAGTAGTGGGGCTAAAATGTGAAATAGAAAGAAATACGGGTATTAAAACGCAGATATTATTAATGTCATTTTACGTTCTATGTGAAAAACAGTATATGATCACATGTTTCGATACGGAGAGGAAGGACAGTTTTTGATGCAACCTGTCTCCCTTTTTTTTCTTTATATATATATATATATATATATATTGCATATATATTATATATTGTATATTTTTGTTTCTGTTTTTATTTTTACTTTTCTACCTTTTATTTTTTATTTTTTTATTTTAATTTAATTTTTAAATTTTTATTTTAATTTCATTTTAAAATATTAATTCTATTTTTTAGTTTTATTTTTATTTTAAATTTTTATTTTATTTTTTTAATTATAATTATTTTATTTTTTAAGCTCTTAAATATGTTATGTCATTTTACGTTCTATGTGAAAAACAGTATATGATCACATGTTTCGATACGGAGAGGAAGGACAGTTTTTGATGCAACCTGTCTCCCTTTTTTTTCTTTATATATATATATATATATATATATTGCATATATATTATATATTGTATATTTTTGTTTCTGTTTTTATTTTTACTTTTCTACCTTTTATTTTTTATTTTTTTATTTTAATTTAATTTTTAAATTTTTATTTTAATTTCATTTTAAAATATTAATTCTATTTTTTAGTTTTATTTTTATTTTAAATTTTTATTTTATTTTTTTAATTATAATTATTTTATTTTTTAATTTAATTTTTATTTGATGTGGTGTTGGGTCATCCACCACATCAAATCAATCGTTAATTGACATAGTTTAACGTCGATAAAATTTTTGTAAAAAATTTACAATGTTAATATGTTAGTTATATCCAAATTCGATAATTTTTTGTGAAATTTTTCCTTACAATGTAATTCCTAAATAATTGAGCTATCTTTCCATCAATCTTTATTCAGAAGTTAATTAGATAAAAAAATTTAATCAAATTTAATAAAAAAATAAAATCAAACAGAAAAAAAATAAGTTTAAACAAAATTTCATTCATTTAAATCGAATCACAATTACATTAAATAAGTAATTTAACATAATTTTATAAAATGAAAAATAAAACCAAAATCCAGAAAATGAAATTAGTGACTCATTCAAATTTTATATTCTTTTTAATCTTGATTTTTTTTCAAAGACGATTTGTCTTGACTTTATGATCAGAGTAATACTGAATCTCGAGATCACTACAACACTCCAAAATATAAAATAATTTTCTTGTAAAACACTATCCCAATAACAAAAAAAATCAAATAAGGATACCTTATATATATATATATATATAGAGAGAGAGAGAGAGAGAGAGATGGACATCATAGCTCAAATTAGAACCCTAGGAACGAATACAATAAAAACTGAAAACCCTTCACACCAACAAACGATAAAAGCTGAACCAAAATATAGCTCATATATTAACCAGATGGAAAAGTGTCTTTTCCAATTCAATATACAATAACAGCTGTACGCACACTCACACACACACATATATACACATATATATATATAGGACATAAACCTGTCGATATACTACATACAACTATAACTCAAAACTATACGCACCGTTTCATGAAAACAATCTTCTCTCCAATGGCTTCTCCTGCGATCACACTCAAAACACGATTTCCTTTCCCATCGCTTTCTCAACAACGGCCACTACGTAACCCTAAACACTTCTTCGCGTATACAATCAAGACGAGTTCCAAACAAAACGTCTCGTTGTCGAGAAACGCCGTACGTCGAACGAAATGCTCGTTCTCGGTCGCCCATGCATCCGATGGGATAAGAGAATCTGAGGAAGAGAACTGTCGGAAAATACCCTTTTCGGACGAATCAACGGTCGGGAAGAAAAGGGCGTTTTGGAAAAGGTGGTGGAACTATTGGGACTTGACGAGGGCGACAGAGATCTCCTACGTCCATCTGCTTAGCCTTTTAGCGCCATTTCAGTTCAACTTGTCGGCTTTGCGGGTGGCTCTCGGGCTATACGTGATTACTATACTTAGTATTACGTTGTCGTATCATCGAAATCTTGCCCACCGAAGTTTCAATCTACCGAAATGGCTCGAGTATTCCCTGGCTTTTATTGGCACTCTTGCTGGCCAGGTTGGTTTTCTAATTACATGCACATTATTATATCTTACGATAAATGTCAAATCTTTACGGGAAATTCCTTTTTTTTAAAGAAACATTCTTTCTATTTGGATTATACTCTAAAAAGTTGGTTTATTTAATAAATCTTATTTTCAATAATAGGTTTTGTTGTTTCTATTATGACACATTTCGTTATTAAATGATCACTTTGTCTAGATGTGACTGCTCCTAGCGGACCACTTACTTTGCGATATTATCGATGAGTTTAAATTATCTGTAGTTCTGTACACATTAGGATATATATATATATATATATATATATATATATATATATATATATAAATATGTGTGTGTGTGTGTGCATGGCCAGCCCCTAGCCGACCTATTTTTCCTTTTAATATATTAATTGTAGAGTTATATAATAATATACTCATATAATAATAATAATAATTATTATTATTTTTAATATATTTTTCCGTTTTTTCGTGACACTTCTTTTAGTTTGATATACTCATGTAATAATAATTATTATTATTATCATTAGAAACTAATTTCAACATGAAAAAATATAAACAATATGACAAGAGTTCGAAATGTACAAATCTCTCTTATGGGCCCTTTTCTATCAACGCTTTTTAAATGTATTACAGATTTCTAATCGTTCACATAATTTGTTCTTACAGGGCGATCCAATAGAATGGGTGAGCTACCACAGATACCATCACCATTATTGCGAGACACAACGCGACCCACATAGCCCCACGCAGGGATTTTGGTTTAGCCACATCCTTTGGATATTCGATACGGATTACATCAACCAAAAGGTATAGACAATGATCAATGCTCTTAAATATGTTATTAATGTCATAATCTATCGAGATGATCGCATCATTCATGGATGTGTGTGTATATATATATTGATGTGCATGCATATATGCAGTGTGGGGGGCTACATAACAATGTAGCCGACTTGGTGAAGCAACCATTCTACAGGTTTCTTGAAAGAACTTGGATTTGGAACAACGTCGCCCTCGCCCTTCTCCTCTACCTATGGGGCGGTCTTCCTTTCTTCATTTGGGGCATTGTAAGACAAATCTCTTTCTATTTCTTTTTTTTTATTCTAAATAAAATTTTCTTGATTACACTTTGGTGATAATGTTATAAATAAGTTTCAACGAAAATTTCGAATTTCATGATTTTGCAGTGTGTGAGAAAAGTGGTTGCCTTCCACGCCACTTTTCTAGTGAATTCAGCATCTCATGTATGGGGAAATCGTGTGTGGAAAACCAACGATCTGTCCAAGAACAGTTGGTGAGGGGAGCTCTAATAGTCCGCACATATATATATATATATATATATATCAGGTGCAAGGGACAAAACAACACACGAAGAAAACTTTAAAGTTACATAAACTTCCACCACTTCCAACAAACTTTTAAGTTGGAACAGTTTTGGTTTAGAGTCACTGTCGGAAACCGATTTGGTTGAGAGCCTCAGAGATATGCTTCATAGTCGGCCTCTTCTCAGGGCTACTACTAACGCACGCCATTGCTATCTTCAACACTGAGATGATCTCCTCTTCCACTTCCTCTGCATTGTCCTCCTCCAAAGACCGATCCAATATATCCGCCATCTCCTTCTTCTCCTCGATACACATCTGAATCCATTGAACAATACCCATTTCAGAATTTCCCACGCTAACAACCGGTAACCTTCCGGTTATCATCTCGAGTAAAATCACACCGAACGAGTAAACATCCCATTTCTGAGACGGTTTAACTGCTTTCATGGCTTCTGGCGCTTGATAGTACGATCCCAGTTTGGATGCTCGGTCTTGTGATTGCTCATCGGTTACCACTCTGTTTGATTCTGAGGTCGGGGATCCTACAGCGATGTTGGAGAGACGGACAAGTCCAAAATCAGATATATGAGGCTCCATATCGTGCCCGAGAAGAATATTGCTCGGTTTGAAAGATCCATGAACGTACTTCTTGGGGCTGAACTGATGAAGATAGACCAACCCTCTTGCTATTCCCTTGATAATCTTCATTCTAACCGGCCAAGACAGTGGCTTGAATGCCACCCTTCCTAAAATCATATCCAAAAAACCGTAAAAGGAAATACACAGATTATATAGTTTTCAGGGTTATCTAAGGTATCGAGGGTTTTTACCGTGGATTGCATTGGCAAGACTTCCATTAGGTATGTAGTCATAGATGAGAAGCTTCTCCTCCACGGACCAATAATAAGCTCTGAGATTTACAATGTTTGGATGCCTCAGCTCTCCAATGGCTTCAACTTCTGTCTGAAACTCCTTATACCTTTGAGATCCTCCTCCTCCCAATCTCCTTACAGCGACAGTTAACCCGTCTTCAAGGACAACCTTGTACACAACCCCATTCCCGCTCTTACCAA